AGAGCGTCTCGAAAGTCATCACGATCGAGGATTGTGACGCCGCCACCTTCAGGGCCTTTCTGCAGTTTCTCTACACCGATCACCTGCCGGATGCCCGCTCGGAGCAGTCTTGGGACGACGAAGATGAGAATGCCAATGGCAGCCTGCAGTTGTCTTTGGTTCAGGAGCTGCTCAGTGTGAGCCACAAGTATCAAGTCAAACGGCTTCAAGCTTGGTGCGAGGCGACACTTGCCGAAGAGGTCAACGCGTCACAGGTGTGCGACATCCTCTGCCAAGCGCATCTGCTCCAGGCGAAGCGGCTGGAACAGGCTTGTCTGTCTTTCATCAAAGACAATCCGAGCCGAGTGCTTACATTGCCGGCCTATGTCGAGTTGGCGAAGAAGTGGCCTGAGATCGGGTTGAAAGTCCACCTCTTCACGGCGGGTGTGTCGGAAACCGAGGACGAAAAGCCGCAGGAGCAGGAGTCGGAGCCGGCAAGCGAATGAGCCCAGCGGCCCAGGCAGTAGATAAAAGCCAGAAATTCAGATGTCCAGACCTGCATGGATGGTACATTGCTTCACGGCCTGCGCGCACGACGCGCAGCACAGACTCCCAAAATCTGAGAAGTTATAGCCCACGGGCGCTATGCAAGGACGTGCAATCCGACTCGAAGACAGGCCCCGAGCTGACATCGAAAAGGTGTCGAGTTCGAGTCCGGAGGCGTGAACGAGATTTTTTCTCCCTGTTGGAGACGGCAGCGCTTAAGTGCTGTTGTTAGCTTCGTGCCGCTTTGTCTTAAAGAAAACAACGAAACCGACTTCTTGAACGGACTTGCTTGTGGCACTGTCAACACTTTTGCGCATGGGACCAGCACCAAAAGGGTTGGGCCTCGCAACCCAAACATCAAGCTAGCAGGAAGGTAACATCATCATGAGCATTACATCTCAAGATGGCAGCCCCCTGTCAGGCTCCGGCTCGAATCTTGCATTTTCTGGACGCGCGAGAAGATGTACGACTTTCCGGCCGAGTTGAATTTCTCCCCGCCCGAAACGTGAACCTTGAATCCAAGCTAAGTAGCCCAGGAAGTTGCACTGCGCCGTCTCGGCTGCTACCATGACCCTAAATCCCTCAACTCTACGCCCTTATGAAACCCCAAACCCTTAAACCCTAAACCCTAAATAAACTCCCAACTCCTAAACCCGAAAATCCCGAACCCCAGCGCACTTCAGGGATCCCCCCAAGATGCCTCTGAACCCTAGCTTTCAGATCTCGAAGCCAGGCGCTCGACATGGACTCGAGCCGCCACGTGCTGCTACAGTGGGTGAGGCTTCAAACAGCTTCAAACAGCGCTCTAGGAACTTTTAAACCCTAAACCCTAAACCTTAAAATCCTAAAACCCTAAAACCCTAAACCCCTAAACCCTAAGCCCTAAACCCTCGGGGCTTAGGACCTGGGATGTAGGGTTTAGGGCAGTTTAGGGAAGGGGCATACTGTAAGTGCTGGGGAAGAGACCCGCATCCTACTCGCAAAGCTTCGTAGACGAAGATCGGGTTCAGGGCTGGATTCTGCATGAAGCGTCCCTCGGGAACTTTGCAGGGTAGCTGTGGTTTCCAAGATTCTGGGAGGTTTGAGGGAACCACGCAGTTCGAGGCATCATATGGGGTTGGAGTTCAACCCAATTTCGAAGCCCGGAATTGGGCTGGAGGGCTTTTGGGGGGTTCAAGGTCGGTCTGGGGTAGAGAGAATTGGTGGAACCTCCTAAACCCTAAACCCTAAACCCTAAACCGCAAACCTGAGTAAAGACGGTCAACTTGAGTGCGGTGGAGGGCTGCTAAGCCCAGGTTTGGGGTTTGGGGGTGTCGGCAGATGAAGGTTCGGATGAGCCCTTCCCTAAGCTTTGGTTTAGGGGTTGAGGGGTTTAGGGTCTAGGGGTTAGGGGTTTAGGGTTTAGGGGTTTAGGGGTTGAGGGGTTTAGGGGTTGAGGGGTTCAGGGTATAGGGCTCAGGGTTTAGGGCTTCGGGGTGGGGGTTTAACCTTTGACTGTTTAGAGCTTCGGCTTTCGCTTCAAAGCTTTCCGGCTCTAGGATTGTACTGGCACTTCTCCGGCACATCTTTTCGAGTCGAGCTGCGGGTCTTCGAAATCAATGTCAATGACAAACCGGTCAAACAGCTGCACTTGGGCTTTGGGGGTTTGGGGTTTAGGGGTTTGGGGTTTTGGAGCTTAGAAGTTTAGAGATTTTCGGGTTTGGGGGGTTGGGGTCTAGGGGTTTAGGGTTTATAAGTTTATAAGGTTTAATAGTCGGACCCAATCTCAATGTCCGAAGGCTTCGGCGCGCCAAATCCTGCAAGTCCGAATACTTCCACTCTGTGACCTGCCACGTCCCCTGAGCCAATGCCCCAAGAGAAGTTTCAGCATGCAGACCCTAAGCCCCTCAACCCTAAACCATCAGGCTCCTGAGTTTAGGGTTCAGGGTTCAGGGTTTACCTATAGTCTCCACTGTAGTTCCTTTTTGGGGTTACCTTTTAGGATCCTTAATTTAGAATTGGTTAAACCAAAAAAAGGAACTACAATGGAGACTATAGGTAGGGTTTAGGGTCTAGCGGTTTAGGGTTAGGGCCTCGAGCGCCCTTCGCCTCCAGGTCGGAAAGCCCTCGCGACACAGACGGCTCAAGAGGCCAGAAGTGCGGGTTTAGGGTTTAGGGGTTTAGGGTTTATGGATTTAGGGTTTAGAGTTTAGGGGTTTAGGGTTGAGGGTTTAGGGTGTAGGGTTTGGGGTTTAGGGCTATCGAGGTGTCTCCATGTCATAGAGCTTCGGGGGTGAGCCACCTCGACACCCAGAGCACAATGATCCCCGGAGGTAACTTAAATGTGACACGCCTTGGGTGCTTCTATCCCGGGTACACCTGGCTACCCAAAGCCACGCGAAGGCTACAGCCAGGCCTGGTGTTTACCCCACGGAAGAAGCGGTCTTTGTACATCTTTCTTCGCGGGTTCCCTACCATGTGTGTTTGTTTTTTCCCCCTTCTGTCTTTGTTTTCAACACTTTTCGCTCTTCCCTTCTTTCCCTGGTAGATGATTCGGGCAGCGCTTTGGAAGAAGGCATTCTTGCGTCAAGCCTCTGCTCTTCCACCGGCCGGCCGTCCCGTAGCGCCAGGATTCCAGAGAACCCCTGGCCCGCCATGGCTGAAGCCAGTGCGCTCCGCGTGACGGCGCAGCTGATGCTTACAGGGGCCAAGCTTGCAGAGCTGGAGTTGGCTCCGAGTGACAGCCTTCTGGACCTGCGGGAGGGCTTAGTGAAGCAGGCTACTCTCAAGAGGCCCTTCCGGCTGAACCCTAAACCCCCTAAACCCCCTAAACCCCCTAAACCCTAAACCCTAAACCGTGAAGAGGCCCTTCCGGCTGCTCTTCCAGGGGCAGCCGCTCACTGGTACAGGTTCACTGGAGGCGGCTGGGCTTGCATCGGGCAGTGTGATAGACGTGTTGCAGGAGGGCCTGGTGGGTTGGACTCGGCTCTGCCATGGCGATGAAGTCCGCAAAGAGACCACAGGCCTGCCGATGATTTGGGACGTGCCGCCGGCAGACGTCCCCGCTTTGGCACTGAAGGCTACAAGACTGCGCATTCAACAGAGAGGCTGCCCGGAGAAGGCAGTGGAGAGCCTTCCAGAGAGCTATCCCATCCAGAACCTCCGCTCTGGCCAGCCGATCGGCTTTAATCTGAGCAGGACAAGGGCAGAGATCCAAGCATCCTGGATGGTGCCGGAGGGCGGGCAGGAGGACCTGGTGCCAGAAAAGCTGTGGCATACTTCGGCGCATTGGCATCGAAAACGCCACAACGAGTTGGCGAGGAAGATTTACCACTCCTGCGACAATGGCGCTGGAATCCACTGGAGTACAGACATCTGTGGCTGGACGGTCGCAGGCGGTGAAGACTTGGAGCTCTACATCGATGTTGAAGAAACGGACGCAGCGCTGGAAGGTTCCTAGGTGTCCTCCTTACATGGAAAACCCAAAGGGTTTGCTTTAGCGATTGCCAGATCCCCAGCTCCGCCGGAAGATTTCAAGTTTGCAGGTCTGGGAAGGCCCAGGCAGAGCTCCTTCGTCTGAAGCTCGTCAGGGACACAGGGTCGGGCACCGAAGGACAGGTGATGATGTCAAGGAAACCCTAAGCCCTAAACCCTAAGCCCTAAACCCTAAACCCTTGCGGGATTAACTAGATCCCGAAGCCCCACGCCCTAAGCCTTAGTCAACCCAAACACCAATTCGACGCCAGGAGTAAATCTTAAAAGCAGTCGCGGTTTAGGGCTTATGAGTGTTAATCCCGCCCAGCCCACTTGAAACAAAACCAGGTTTTATATCACAGGTTTCATATCAAACTCCACGAAAGTAACTACCCAAGGTGCCCCAGCCCCGAACGCGAACCCCAAATACCTCCTTGCGACCCCAAGCCTTTCCCCTACAGCGCCAGCCCGAGGCTGAGAGAGTGATGCAGCCGCTCTAAACTGTTTAGATCTGTTTAGGACTCCGTGTGAGGCCATTCGCAATTTCCGGTGTGGTCGCCCTAAACCCTAAACCCTAAACAAGCCAAACGACTGCTTCACAACTTTCTCCTAAGCCTCCTCTTAAGCCATGGCAACGTGTGTGTACTCGATCCCTGAGTGGAACCCGAATATTTGCAGACCAGGGCCCCTAGAAAGCCACACAACACCTGCAAAAACGATAGAAGAACCGGAACCCCTAAACCTCAAGAACTAGAAATCTAAACCTCAATGCCCTCAGAAAAAACCACATCTAGAAACTATCTCAACCCTGAGACCCCGACACCCCAAACCTTGTAACAAGCCACGAGTTACGTCCCTTGCCCTCTCATCGCCAGGGCACCTGATGTGGCCACAGCTGTACCGAGGCTCGCCTTCTGCAGATGTTTCTGACAGGCGTCGTGAAGTTTGTCCTTCGAGAGCGGGGAATTTAGGCTTCGTCGTCTCATCGCTTCATGGCAGCCAGTTCTCCTCCAGCTCTCCAGGGTCACGGGCCTCTCGGCTTTGTCGCTCTCTGCCCATGGAGCCGCAGTCGATGTCCGCCGAAGAGCTCCAGGCCGAGATCGAGGCCACTCGGCGCCGGGCGGAAGCTGAGGAGGCGAGGCTTCCAGAGCTAGAGGGCGAGATTGATCAGGCCTGGGAGCGTCAGAGGCTCCGGGGCGAATTGCATGCGATGCAACGCAGGCTGGGACTAGCAGAGGATCGCAATGATGTCGCGATCCAGGTCCGGGGCTTCATCGACAATGACGAAGTGCAATCTCACCTTCTTCCGTCCAGACCGGAGCAACCTGTGATGCATGCAAGTGGTGGCGGGAGTGCCAAATTCGACGACATGGTAGCTAAGGGCGAGTATGTATGGAGAATCGAGGGCTTTTCTTGGGTGCCATGTGCGCTTAAGCAGAAGGTGGTTGCTTATTGGGATCCTCCTTATGTCGACGCGGGGTTTTTTCTTGGCAACCAGAGCATCCTCTTTAGCTACAGCCCGTGGGCACACTGGCTTTGTGATCAGCATCATGGGTCTCTCGCCATAGTGCTGGACACGCAGGAACAGGTTGCTCTGCGGTATCGCATCTATGTCAAGGCACGGGACGGACAGTTTGTGCAGTGGGGCGAGACGCGTGATGTCGTCCACTGTCGTGACCGTTGTGCATATGGCCCCGATGTGCATTGGCCCGGTCATCCTCCCTCTTCACTGGGCATCTTCGGGCTGAGCCATGAGGAGCTGCTGCAGTCAGAGTGGGTGCAGAACGACACTCTCACGGTGAAGTTCGAGATCGAAGTTCGTCCTGCCAAGCGCGAGACATGGCAGCCCTTGAGCCTTGCTGCAGAGATTCCTGAGCCGACCATGCTCGATGACACGCAGGCGCTCTTGGAGGAGGGCACGTGCAGCGATGTTCAAATCGTGGCGCAGGGCGAGGTGATCCAGGCACACTCGCAGGTTCTCTGTGCGCGATCCGAGGTGTTCAGGAAGCAGCTGACGGCAGGCATGCAGGAGAGTGTCTCGAAAGTCATCGTGATCGAGGATTGCGATGTCGCCGCCTTCAAGGCCTTCTTGCGGTTTCTCTACACCGACCGCTTTCCAGAGGTCAAGGATTTCGTTGCGGCGGCGAGCTCAAGCAACGACGAGGCAGAGCACGGCAGCCCCAA